AGCTTAGTAGTTAGAGTATTAATCTTCAACTATGAGTTTGAATCTTATCTCTTACAAAGAGGCGGACCTCTAGATAAATAGAGGTTATTAACAAATAAATAAATTTTCTTAATTAAATAGTAATTGAAATTTTGTTAGTCTCTATTTGGACCGACGAAGAAGAATCAAGAGTCCGTTCGACTCGTCGGCATCCTCCGAGTCCAATGGTACCCTTAGTTTTCTAGTTTGAGAACTTTGTGTGAAAAGTCTCGTGGGTAACTCTATTCATTGGCTTTATTTATCTTTTCTGGTTCAGATGGTATCATCCTCTACCTTTACCTTCTCTGTTACTCCCACCATAACTAGTGTCAGGATCAATTAAAAAAATTACTTATCCTGATTTGCTTTAGTTGAGCTGTGATTTCTCGATCAAGAGCATCACAACCATTTAGAGAAGAATATAGACTTTATTTTCGTTGCAAAAAGGTTTCAGTGAGAGAAAATAGACTTCCAACTTTGTGTAATCTTATGGCAGTATGTGGAACCAGATGTTCTTGAGCTTCTTAAGTCATTCAAAACTTGTTCTTCTTTATGGAAAAGAAGGCTCAAAATATTTTTGCTAATGATATTCAACGTCTCTTTGATGCAACTCAAAGAGTAACATCACTTAAGCAGACTAATCACGACATGATCGCTCACATTGCAAAAGCTAGGGCTGCTATGGAAGAATTAAAAAGGTTTCTTGTTGCAAATACCTTAGATGAGTTAAACATCAAACTCGATAAGCTATATGTGATTCTAATTTTGAGAAGTCTGCATTCTGAATTTGATCACGTGCGTGATCAAATCCTAGCTGACGATCATGTTTCATCAATGGATAATCTTGTCACTAGGTTGATTTGTGTTCCAAATCTCATGGTTGATGAAAATAAGGTGGAGACTGTTGAAAATTCTACTATGGTTGCCCCTCGGGGTTGAGGGAGAGGACACAACAATCGAAGTGGACGTGGTAGTTCAAAAATTCGTCCTCAATGCACCTATTATAAGAGGATGATACACACACAGGAAATTTGTTATTCCTTGCATGAATTTCCTGATAAGATTGCCCATGCATCTAAATCGGAGAAGCCAGATGTGAAGATTTCTGATGAGGAGCATCAGGAGTTTTTGAAGTTCAAATATGGAAAGTTTAACAGTTAGGGTCAATCCTTTTCAATGCCAAGTGTTTCAACTACATACATTTCTCAATCTGTGGAAGGTTAAAATTCATGAATTCTTGATTCAGGTACCTTTGATAATATATATGGTAATAGTTCATCGTTTTCCTTCATGTCCTATCCTAAAATTCATCACTTAATCATTCTGGTTAATAGATCCAAAGTGAAATCTTAAGGTGTTGGCCAAAGTTCCTTTAACCTCATCTCTAAATTTAAATTCTGTTCTTTTCATTCCTAATTGTCCTTATAACTTGATCTTTCTAAGTCAATTTACTCGTTCTTTGAATTGTTCTGTAACCTTTACTTTTAATTCTTTTGTTATTCAAGAACATGGTACGAGTCGTCTGAATGGAGAAAGACATGAATCACGTGGTCTGTACTATTTAAAACCAAGTCGTTCGGTGTCTTGTTTGATTTCTTTTACCCTTAAACTTTTGCATGATCATCTAGATCACCCAAGTCTATCTAAGTTGAAAGTGAAGACTCCTAATCTTCAACATCTTCGTGTTTTAGAGTGTGAATCTTGCCAATTAGGAAAACATGTTAGGTTTACTTTTCCTAAATAGTCTGAAACTCGATGTAATTTTCCTTTTTCAAATATTCATTCTGATGTTTAGGGACCAAGTTGTGTTTTTTCTTTTGACTTTCGATATTTTGTGACCTTTATTGATGAATTTTATAGATGTACTTGAGTTTATTTGATGAAAGACAGATCTAAACTTTTGTTCATTTGTATGCCCTTTTTCAATGAAATTAAAAATCAATTTGGGAAGATAATTAAAGTTCTCAGAAATAATAATGTCAAAGAATATTTCTCTGCCTCCTTTTCTTCTTTTTTATCTTCTAAAGGAATTTTACATCAATCAACTTGTCATCACACCCCACAACAAAATGACATTGTAGAAAGAAAAAAATAGACACCTTATTGAGATTGCACACTCTCTAATGTTGAATGCTAATGTCCCTGTTCATCATTGGGGAGATGCAATTCTCACTGCTTATTTTTTTATTAATCGGATGCCATCTTCCTCTTTTAAAAAATCAAATTCCACATTCTCTTATCTTCCTAGATGATCCTCTTTTCCATGTATCTCCTCGTGTATTTGGTTATACTTGTTTTGTTCACAATGTATCTCCAGGTCTTGATAAACTACGTGCTAAGCCCATTAAATGTGTTTTATTGGGGTACTCTTGCCTTCATAAAGGGTGTAAATGTTATTCTCTATCTTCCAAAAGGTATTATATGTCTACTGATATCACCTTCTTTGGCTTATACGTCTATTTCTAATAATGTTCATGAGGCACTTGATCACCTTGGATGACGACAAGCCATGATTGATGAAATGCAGGCACTTGAGCACAATGACACTTGGGAGCTTGTTCCTCTTCCTCCTGGAAAAAAGGTTGTGGGTTGTAGGTGAGTCTATGCAGTTAAAAGTTGATAATAATAATAATAAAATGGATCATCTTAAAACTCGTTTAGTAGCTAAAAGCTACACTCAAATTTATGACCTTGATTACTATGATACCTTCTTTTCATTAACTAAGATTTCCATTATTCGTCTTTTCCTTGCTATGGTTGTGATTTTTCATTGGTCCCTTCACCAACTGGACGTTAAAAATGTCTTTCTTCATGGTGACCTTGAGGAATAGATTTATATGGAGCAACCTCTAGCTTTGTTGCTCAAGGAGAATCTGGTTTAGTGTACAAGTTACACCAATCTCTTTATGGCTTGAAGCAATCACCCTAAGCTTGATTTGGAAAATTCAGTCATGTTGTTCAGTTGTTTGGCATGAAAAGGAGTGAAGCAGACCACTCAGTATTTTATTGTCATTCCTCTTCAGGCAAGTGTCTATCTTATAGTTTATGTTGATGATATTGTTATTACAGACAATGATTATACTAAGATTAGTCAACTAAAGAATCATATGTTTGCTCACTTGCAAACTAAAAATCTTGGTCAATTGAAATATTTTCTTGGTATTAAATTGGCTCAGTCAAAGTAAAGTGTGACCATCTCTCAAAAAAAGTATGTTCTTGATATCCTGAAGGCGATTGGTCTAACAAATTGTAAGCTCATTAATACCCTAATGGACCCTAACTAGAAATTGATGAAGGACGAAGGAGAAAAGTTGTCATATCCAGAAAGATATAGGAGGTTAATTGGTAAACTCATTTATCTTACTATTACCAGACCAGATCTTTCTAATACAATTGGAGTAGTTAGCTAATTCATGCAAAATCCTTATGTTGATCACTGAGATGCCTTGATTCGCATTTTGAGATATATTAAAGGGGTCCCAGGACAATGGTTGTTATATGAAGATAAAGGTAATACTCAAATTATTAGTTATTGTGATGCAGATTGGGCTAGTTGTCTAATTGATATAAGATCGACCACTGGGTATTGTATCTTTAGTGGAGGAAATTTGATTTCTTGAAAAAGTAAAAGACAAAGTGTTATTGTTCGATCTAGTGCAAAAGTTGAGTATAGATATATGACATTTGCTACATGTGAACTTGTGTGGATCAAACAACTCCTTCAAGATTTAATTTTTTTTATATTGTGTGATAATCAGATAACTCTTTATATTGTCTCCAACCCAATCTTTCACGAAAGAACAAAATATATTGAGATTAATTGTCATTTTGTTAAAGAGAAGTTATTGTGTAAGGAACTTGTAATTGAATTTGTAAGCTCTAATGAGTAACTGACAAATATTTTAACTAAATCCTTAAGAAGATTTAGGATTCAATTCATTTATTTCAAACTTGGTACATACAATTTGTATGCTCCAGCTTGAGAGAAATATTGAGAGTTGTTTATGTATATTTTAGTATTCTTTTTTAATGTTCCTTAGACTAAGGTTAAAGATTTGGGTCGAGGTCTATATCATTTTTATTGTACATTTTCTTCTATCAATATAATGTACCATTGCATTTGGTCACCGAATCAAACCACAGCTAAGTTTTCTGAAATATTATGACTTATTTGATTGTGAAAACCTAGCAGCACATTAAATTTTAACCAATAATATAATATGTATTCCTAATAATTTTTTAGTCAATAATAAAACAATTATAATTTTCTATTAATTTCAACTTTACTTAGGGTATCGTAAAAGATATCTTTAATTAAAATCTATATTTTTTATTCTACAATTTATATACAAAGAATCTTAATTAATATATCAAACTAAATATTTTAATTTCTCTAAAGATGAAAATGTGAGCTGAGCGTCTGGAACATCATAATTTCATGCAAACAAATATTTCCTTCGTTTCTATTTACGAACCTCAGTTGTCCAATTCACCGGTATAAAGAGAAAAGTAGTAAATTTAATTAATAGCCAAAAATTTGTCTTAAATTTAAAATTTTTTCCAAAACTATCATTGTGTTAAATATTTATTTTTATTTCAGTCTAAAATTTATTAATACAAGAGGCATTATAGGACAAAAAATACAAAAAAAAATACAAATTGTGATTTATAAATAAAAATAAACACTACTTTTAGTTTGAAACTTACAAATAAGAACAACAGAAATATAATACCATTATGCTGCAAAGAAAAAATGGATGAGGTCAGTGAGATTCTCCGGAGGATGGCATATGTATTTTTCATCAAAAGCAAAAGTTGAAGTAATCAAACCATCATAGCATCTTGTGTGTGAACTAACAAGCGCCAAATTATTCTAATTTTATCAATAATTTCAAAATGAAGCATTAAGGATGTAATTATGTAAAATATTCAAAAAGAATCTCTATTATTAACTATACTGATATAATATCATGTTAGAACAGGATTCTTTGGCCGAAGACACTTGTAATGAACAAAAGTAGGAGTAATCATTTACATGGTGGTCACATGATGCAGACAGTTGATAGTACCACCTGTCTAACCCCAACTCTGATGGGATCAAAGTATTTGTCTTCTATGGTTAACTCTGACATCATGAAGCATAATGTTTGAATTCTTTGACTATCCTTTGTTTGTTGAATATTGAGTATGGTGACAGATTGTCTAGACAACTATGCTAGTTTTCTAGGAATTGCTCTGTTTTTGTTTTTGGTTATGATGGATATTGCCTTCCTTAGGTTTAGCTATAGACTTCTGGCTTCAGTTGGTCTAATCAATTTCAAAACTTTTATCATAGGTGTTCCCATGTTTTTATGCAGAAAATGAACCGACACAAGAAATGTTCGCTTACTAAGCTCCAATTGCTGAATTCTTCACACCGTTAATAAATTTAAGAGAATATATCATCTAATACCTTGGGTAATCTGCGACAATAACTTAACAATTCATATTCCAGTAAATATAATGGAAACAATACATTAAAGATTTGGTTTAGCTGAAGATATGGTAGTGAGAATTGAAACATAGTAGCTCTCATCAAGCCACCATCTCCACCCCATCACTCTTATAACAATCACTGTCCATAGCTCTCGTCTGTACAGTCTTGTAAGTGTACTTTTTTGTCACCAAGAGGAAGAAACACAAAACCAAAGCATTTATAACAGCCAACATCCAATAAAACCTATCTAGACGACTTGAATTTATGTCCTTGCCAATCCAACTGTTGCCATTCTTCCCCGTGAGATGGTCCACAATGATTATTAGAAAGCTGCTTAAGAAGAATCCTACTCCAAGCACACTAAGATACAAAGCCATTCCCAAGCTTCTCATTGAGTCAGGAACTTGGTCATAGAAATACTCTTGTAAACCAACTAGAGAAAATGAATCTCCAACCCCAAGGATTAAGTATTGGGGTATCAGCCACAACACGCTCATATTATTGTGATTAATTTCCTGTGCAGCCATTCTTAGTCTGTTCGCTTCTACTAAGGCAGCGACAACCATGAGTACGACTGATAATGTCATGCCAATGCTCATCCTCCTAAGGATGCTGATGCCTCTTTCATTACCAGTGACTTTCCTCAGAATTGGAACAATAATCCTATCATATATTGGGACAGCTATTAAGGTACCAGCTGCAGAAACAGAGAACATGGAAGCTGGTGGGATTTTGACATCGTCACTTATGTTTAAGTTCATAGCAGCTGCTTGTTTGACGAAGAGTGTTGTGCCTTGAGCCACACATACTCCAACTGTTAGTGAAGTTAGCCATATCGGAACTAAATTTAGAACAAGTTTTGTTTCTTCTACTCGTGTCACTGTTGCTAATCTCCAAGGATTGTCCTTCTGCTCAACATGTTTCTCCTCAATTATTGCAGCCTTGTCAAGAAACCTATTCATTGAATTGATTTGCATTAACTCCCATGAATGAATTTAATAGGCATATATTGTTAGTGTAAAAGTTTTTATATTACAAATATTATTAGTTTTTAAGATAATTATTATTAAAATTAATAAAATTATCACTATGATAATTTGTCGTTGAATTATAGTGTACATGACATGTACACTATCTACTCCATTAAATTCTAAACAATGAAAAGTATTAATATCAATATGACAAGGTCCATGTGTGACGAATACCTGAGCCTGCTAGTGTGTCTCAGAAGCCTTCCTTGGGACCTCAAAGACTCTGGGACCTCATACAATAAAGCAGGATTTGAAGGACAAGATAAATTTCTTTTCCTAACTGCTGCAGTTAAGACTTGTAAAATTGGTGTTAAAGGGTTTCCTTCTGTCCTTCTGTACCTGTAAAATGGTTTTCCCACACAGAAAGCTATGACGGTAAGGGCCATAAAAATAGTGAGGATGAGACAAGCAACTCCCCAGCTGACGAAATCTTGAACATAAACAACCACCGTTGCACCAAGCAGTAATGCAAAACACAGAGCAAAGTTCCACCAGTTGAAGAAAGACATCTTCTTCTTCCTTTCTTCCAAGTTATCATCATCAAATTGGTCAGCTCCAAAGCTTTCCAAGCATGGTTTGTATCCTCCTGTACCCAAGGAGATACAGTAAAGGGCAAGGAAGAAAACCACTTCATGAACCTTCCTTGGCTTTTGGCATATCTTAGTATTACAAGGCTTTATACTTGGGATGAATTGAGACATGGTCAATGAGATTAATCCCTGGTAGACACACCAAGAAATCAGCTTTATTTCTCATGACAACACAACAGTATCAGACTATCAGTGCTTGTAGTGATATATAATTATATAAACAAATTGGAAAAAAAGAAAAACAATTCCGGCCCGAGGTGTCTCAAGTTGACCAAACAATGGATATATGAGGTGTAAAGGTATAAGTTACGAAGTATAATAAAATCTTTTGTGCACATTGATTAAGAGGAAAAGTATATTTACCATGAGGTATACAAAGGATGAAAACAGGACCATATAAAATCGTCCAGTGTAGGCATCAGCAACAAATCCCCCAACCAGAGGCATTAGGGTTGTTGTTCCGGACCAATAGTTTACATTCTTGGCTGCTGTTTTGAGGTCTTCATGCATCACTTTAGTCAGGTACGATATAAGATTAGTGGCTATCCCAAAGTAGCTTACCCTTTCACTGAATTCAATTGCTGTTCCAAATTGAGACAGAATCATGCCATCAACTATGTTGTGCTCATAAAAGTCAAACACAAATATTAAACATTTTTATAGTAACTTCTTTTCGACTACCAATAACCTAAAAAAAGAAGAAGAAAGTTGTCCTAAAATTGTGCAGAGAACATCTGAAAAGAAGGAAATTTTGTTTTTCTCTAGTTTTTTAATGCATCTTTACTTTGAAGATCATTTGGCTGTTATAGCAACAGTGTAGGCTAACACTCTTTTTGCTGGAAACTGGTTACCAGTAAAAATCTAAATCTTCTAGGACATGCCACCTGTTTTTTACTAGCTTGAACACCTTTTGTTAGTTTATGATGAAAATAAAGCTATAAAATGAACTACAAAGCAGTTTTGAAATGATTACAAAAAAACTAAGCTCATGTGAACCAGTATCTTACTGAGGACAAAGAGAGAGGCTTTCCATACACCAGTGGAAGCACGGAGAGGAACACTGCCTTTATAGTCCACAGATGCATCATGCACCCATTTCTCTTCATTTTTCTCAGTTCTACCTCCCTCTCTCTTCTCCATTTCTTGCTCCATCTTTAGAAATGGAAAGTGCAAGTAAACGGGTCCTCACTGAGATGGAATGTTATATAGACAGGTAAAAGTAACACATAATGGTTGGTGGCCTCATTAGTTAGTACATTTAAATGCATGCTGTAAAGAGAATTGATTTTAGCAGGTTCTCTAAAATAATGCTAATAAAACTGAGTACAAAGGAACGTGGATTTATAGTTTTATTTAGATTATAATCAGTTATATATTATATATTTATTCCTTTTTTATAATAATTATATTAAAAAACATTTTTTATGATTTTTAATTTATTCATAGTGCAAAACTTATTATACCAGAAGTAGGCATATTTAAACTCTTGATCAATATTTCTAGGTCGCATTTTCCTGTGTCGAGTGTACTCTCTTAATCATAAAAATTGGTAGTATGAAAAGAGATTATACTAATAAAAAATAGTCAATGGTGTTTCACACAAAATACTATTCGATTCTCGAATTAGTACTAAATTATAACAACTTTCTTATCAGAACATTGGCAAAGTCCAACTTCGCCTACTCCTATATTATTAATTAAAGATTGTCAAGAACAAATTATTTCCTTGATTTTTTGGAGGGGTTTAATTGATTATGCATCTATACTTCTGTACTTGAATGTTCGTAAATAGGTTTTCAGATTGACATTTGATGGAGCCATATCAACCATAATGGATTGGATTCTCGCCAATGGCATATAATTGAATGTTAATTGTATTTTATGGTCCTAAACAAAAGGAGCAGTATCAATCTTCACACATTCATTATTAAAAAGGAGTACGATCTTGTGGAACCAACGTTAGCTACGATTATTATTAATTATTATTACTATTATTATTTATTTTTAAGTTCGGACGCATATGTTCGAACTGTTGAGAAAAACACTCGAAGTATATATTCCACGACCGGACAGTTACTTTACCGTACGATATCAATATAGGAATAGTAATTTCTAGATGAAAAAAAAAATGTTTATATAAGCCTAATGAAGAAACAACGTTTGTCTAATTTAGACCAAGGAGTTACAATGAAGAGAATAAAAATAAATATTTTAATATGATCTCAGAAATGTTTAAAAATAAAAAAATTATTTAAAATTAAAAAAAATATTTATATAAATAATTCTGATAAAATTTTAACCATTTAAATATAAAATTCATAATAAAATATTTAATTTTATTTTTAAATAATACTTATTAAAAACTCTCGTTTGAAAATGTTCATAAATTTTCTTTTTCTAATAACCTTTTGTTTATTTTTCCTCTTATTTTTTTTTAACTTACCAACATCATAATTTTTTTAATTGAAATGTGATAAAATTGTCCAATTTCTAATAAAAGCATAGTTTTTAATGAATTGTCCAATTTCTGAATAAAATTATGTGTAATTTGTTATTAAAAATATTATATTTTTCATCTTGATATGTATTATGGAATTATCATAATTAAACCAGAAAACATAGATTAAAAAAACTAATAAATTAGAATTTTTTAGTCAAACACACAAAAAATGACTTTTTTTTATAAATAATACTATTTTAAAAAATATTTTTTAAAATAGCACATCTCGGAACATTATTTACACAACTAACACTCTTTACTCGTTCACTGTACTCTCACTCAAGCAAAAAATACATCGCTTGAGCGAGGAGACCTGAAATTTAAGGTTTTTGTGGGGTTTAATTTTGCTCAAGCGATATAATTCTCGCTCAAGCGAGAAACCTTTCGCTTGAACGAGGAGACCTGAAACTAATGGATAATCTCGGATGTTTTTTGCTCAAGTGATGGGTAATTTCGCTCGAGCGAGAACTGATTGAAATATGTAGTGAACTAAGTTGTATTATGTGGCTAACTATGTTAGACCTTTAGCTTGTGGTCAATTCTCGCTCAAGCGATGAATAATTTCGCTCGAGCGAGAAGTGATTGGCTAACTTAACGCCTGTGGTCAATTCTCGCTCAAGCGAGAAATCCATCGCTTGAGTGAGGAAATTTATAATCGATTATAATTTAAACTAATCGATCATAATTTTAAAATATTCGAATATTTAAAATTATTATCGATTATTTCTCTCTTGCTCAAGCGAAAAATCCATCTCTTGAGCGAGGAGTTCTGAATGAAATTAATGGGTAATGTTGGGTCAATTCTCGCTCAAGTAAGCGATGGGTAATTTCGCTCGAACGAGAAGTGATTGGCTAACTTAACGCTCGTGATCAATTCTCACTCAAATGAAAAATTCATCGCTTGAGTGAAGAAATTTATAATCGATTATAATTTAAACTAATCGATCATAATTTTAAAATAATCAAATATTTAAAAGTATGATCGATTATTTCTCTGTCGCTCAAGTGAGAAATCTATCACTTGAGCAAGGAAACCTGAAACTAATGGGTAATCTCGGGTCAATTCTCGCTCAAGCGATGGGTAATTTCGCTCGAACGAGAAGTGATTGAAATATGTGGTGACCCAAAAGTTGCATTATGTGACTAATTACGTTGGAGCTTTAACCTGTGGTCAACTCTCGCTCAAGCGAGAAATCCATCGCTTGAGTGAAGAAACCTGCAACTATTTTTTACATAATTAATAATTTTTAAAAAAATATTTCCCAAAATAGCACATCCCAATATAATTTCTAACGCACACAAGTCAGAAATTCAATGCTAAGTCACTCACCCAAGTCAGGATTCCTATGCCTTTCTGATGCCCACAAGTCGGGAATCCAATGCTGAGTCACCCACCCAAGTTAGGATTCCAATCTTGGATTCCCTGCATTAGGTTAGACCAAAGTAGAAGAATCCAAGCACATTTAAAGACATCCTGACCCACTCACTTTGCTTGGGTTTTGTGTGCGTCAGAAGCCATGTGAGGGAGCCTTGGATTCAAACCATTGGACTTCATTATAAATAGACCACTTTCATTCTTTGAAGTTCTCACATTGCACACTCCTAAATCTCTGAAGCTCTTTGCATTCTTTCTTCTTATTACCTTTAGTCTTCTTTTTGTTCCACACTCCTAAAATGGGTGTAGTGTCTATTATTGTCCACTATGATGGTTCCATGAACCCATGTCCCATGGAGGGAGTTACATTCAATACTGGGACTGCAAAACTTGTTCCTTTAAAGAGAGAAATTTCTCTACAAGGTTGAAGAAGTTGATCCATAGGAAATTAGAGAAAGAACCTCACGAAAATGTAGCAACCATACATTTTCGCTGCCCAATTAGACTCGGAGTTGGGATTAACAACTTCATTGTTGTTGAGTTGAAAGATGATGACGACGTGGATGTCATGTTCGATGTTCATGATTCAAACTCAAGTCTATGTGGTATTGAAATTTTTGTTACATTTAAAACTTCTTCTTCTTCATACCCCAACACACACTCACCTGAAATCTCACCATTACCCTACCAAGCTTTCCCAAACACTGACCTAGAAATACCCACACATAATGACTACATCTCTTTTACCCAACTTCTAACTGGGTCTTTCACCAACATCAACGAAGAACTACCTATACAAGAGAATAAAATTGTTGGCCTCCCAATTGAAGTCGTTGATCCTTTTAGTGAGGACGAAGACGAAGATGAAATTCTTAGCCAACACCAAGATGATTCAAAGGACGAATAATCACATATCCCTACACATGCACCAAACTTCATGGAACCATACAACCTACCACACAATTTTCTTAACTTTGAAAGTCACATTCAACAACAAGACCCAGAGTATGGTCATGCGTTGGACAGAGAGCCTTTTGTTTCTTCGACAGGAACTCTATTTCTTGGACAACGTTTCATAACAAAAGAACAAGTTCAAGATGCCATCAACTGCTTTCACATTATTAATCGCTACACATACAAGGTAAAAATTTCAAACCAAAGTAGATGTGTTGTTGAATGTGTTGATAACCAATGCAATTGGAGATGTCGAGTAATATTGCGCACAAGAAAGCAATATTGGGAGATTATGAAGCTTGAAGGGCACCATACATGTGTTTCGCCATTAATCAGCCAAGACCACAACAAGTTGGGATATAAAATGATTTCCCAAACAATTGGTCAAATAATTGATGTTGATTCGTCAACACCAATCTCCACAATCATAGCCCACATCCAATTAACAACGAGTTACACTATAACGTACAGGAAAGTCTGGCTGGCCAAACAAAAGGCAGTGGAGACCATCTACGATAATTGGGAGGATTCGTATAAGAAGTTGTCTTGTTTGTTACAAGCCATGCAACAATTTGTTCCCGGATTCATCTACAAACTACAGTCACAACCAGCTTACCAAGGTGAGGTCCTTCAACAAAATTCAAATATTTTTAAGCGTGTGTTTTGAACGTTTAGACCATGCATAAATGGATTTATTCACTACAAGTCCATTGTTCAAGTGGACGAAACTTTTCTGTACGAAAAATATAGAGGTACCTTGTTGGTTGCAGTAGCACAAGATGACCACAACAATATCCTCCCCATTGTGTTTGCAGTGGTTGAAGGTGAAACAAGTGATGCATGGTTTTTTTTTCTTAAAAAACCTCCAAAGATATGTCACACCCCAGCAAGCATTATGCCTCATATCAGACCGGCATGAATATATTAGAAGTGCATACATAAGAAATGGAAGCGGATGGACAAAAAATAATTCAGTGCATGTCTACTGCATTAGACACATTGCACAGAATTTTATGAGACGTTTCAAAAACACCACACTAAGGAATATTGTTGTAAATATGGATAATTCTTTTACTTCAAATTTGTTACAATTTATTCATTATTTAACTATTGCTAATAAATATTTATATTAACTATGATTTTTTAATATTGTTGTAATATATGGGATGACTGAACCACTATTCTACTATTATTACATCATCTTGAGGTAATGTGACATACAAGTAGCTAATTGATTGGATAAGATACCTAGAGAAAAATGGGCACTTGCATGGGACAATGGACGACGTTAGGGCCACATGACGACCAACATAGCAAAATCTATCAACTCTATTTTGAAAAAACAAGAAATCTACCTATTTGCTCCATGGTCAACGCAACGTACACCCGCTGCAACAAATTTTTTATTGAAAAAGGGAGGCAGATAGATGCCATGATCAATGCTGGTCATGTATACTCTGAAATTTTGATCACAAATTTAGAGGAAGCACAAACACAGACAAACACACATAGGGTCATAACTTTTGACAGATCTACCACCAAATTTGTAGTAGAAGAAACATAAAACCTGCATGAAGTTCGACCAACAAGGAAGTTTGCAGTTCGCCTTGATGAGTTGTGGTGTGACTGTGAGAAATTCCAGAAATTTCACATGCCTTGTTCACATGTTCTTGCTGCATGCAAGCATGCACACCATGACTTCAACAACTACATTCATCCAGTGTATACCTTACAACAAGTTTCAAAGGTATACGAAACACAATTTGGGTTGTTGCAAAATGAAGAATATTGGTCAACATACACATGACCTACTTTGTGTGCAAATCCAGAAATGAAAAGAACTTCAAAGGGCCAACTAAAATCAAGTCGTATAAGAACTGAGATGGATATTACAGAAAATCAAAGTAGGATTAAAAAATATTCATATTGTCATACCCCTGGTCATAGCAGAAGAACATGCCCCAATGTTGCACGTGCATCTACTTTGCATCATTAGATTGTGTTAGTTAAAAAATGCCCCAATGTATGAAACTTAGGAGTTTTTCAATTAATAAAATTTCTTCTTTGCAGAGTGGGGATTACCTACAATATAGTAATTCATGGGCTCATCTGTTCTTACAATAAGGATAACTATATTGGCAACAAATCATAATAGGAATATTGGTTTGTTGCATGAATTGTTAATATCTTTCTATTTAGTCCTTTTGCTGTTCAATCTTGTTCATGGCTGAATCGAAGATATGCTGACAAGGTTGCAATTTGCAGTCCAGGGAGTGTATAACTTAAAATTATCAAGGACAAATGTTTGAATACGAAAATAATTAGATAAGCCTTTGTAGGTTTTATGAAACAATTATTGTAAAAGGCTTAAATTGACTAGTGAAGATATAAGATTCAATTATTTTAAAATTATAATCGATTAGTTTAGTTTATAATCGATTATAAATAGTTGTAGGTTTTCTCGCTCAAGCAGTGGATTTCTCGCTTGAGCGAGAGTTGACCATAGGCTAAAGCTCCAACGCAGTTAACCACATAATGCAACTTGGGTCACCACATATTTCAATCAGTTCTCGCTCGAGCGAAATTACACATCACTTGAGCGAAAAAACACCCGAGATTACCCATTAGTTTCAGGTCTTCTCGCTCAAGCGATGAATTTCTCGCTTGAGCGAGAGAGAATAATCGATCATAATTTTAAATATTCGAATATTTTAAAATTATGATCAATTAGTTTAAATTATAATCGATTATAAGTTTCATCGCTCAAGCGATGGATTTCTCGTTTGAGCGAGAATTGACCATAGGCGTTAATCACTTCTCGCTCGAGCGAAATTATTCATCGCTTGAGCGAAAATTGACCACAGACTAAAGGTCCAACGCAACTAATCACATAATGCAACTTGGGTCACCACATATTTCAATCAGTTCTCGCTCGAGCGAAATTACCCATCGCTTGAGCAAAAGAACACCCGAGATTACCCATTAGTTTCAGGTCTCTTCGCTCAAGCGAGCTCAAGCGAAGGGTTTCTCCCTTGAGCGAGAGAACTTCTCGCTCGAGCGAGAATTATATCACTTGAGCAAAATTAAACCCCACAAAACCCTTAAGTTCCATATCTCCTCGCTTAAGCGATGCATTTCTCGCTTGAGCGAGAGTACGGTGAACAATAAAGAGTGCTAGTTACGTAAATAATGTTCCAGATATATAATTTTAGAAAATATTTTTTAAAATAATATTTATGAAAAAAAGTCCACACAAAAGAGAAATACATTGCAATAAATTAGGAGTTTAAAAAGGAGGCGGGTACGTTTGACCTAACCATCTCTAAATAGATGGATTGGACCATTATTATTTTTGGGTTAAATTAGAATGATAGAGTTGGACACTAAATTGGATCAAGTCTTTATACACTCCTCATAAAGTGCACATCAATCACTCGGAAAGTAAAAGATTTTCAAGCAATCTTCTCCATTCAACTATAAAAGGGAAGATGAAAGATAAGAGACTAATGTGAAACTAGAGTTAGAGTTGCTTAATTACTACTAGTGATAAACTATGCACTAAGACCAAACAACAAAATCTCAATGCATGTATTTAAGAATCAGTATACCAAAGCGAGTACTACAAATTGTTAACACTTGTCACATATATCCTCTCTCTGTTGCGTTGTATTTGTCGAAGGCTAGAGATCAGCCTCTCTTGTCTTCCAAAAAAAACAAGAACATGAGAAAATGTGGCATAAGATCACACTGTTCCTCATGACCTGTGTTTCCAAATACAAAAAAGAAAATAAAATCCATTAAAAAACTTGTTCTCATCAACTTTTCTACAATGTTAATTGGAGCAACAAGATTTCTTCTCCACACTACCAGACATATTTGAGACATTTATGGTAGTTCCATGAGGAACGCTAGTAGTGGAAGCTGCTTCTTGTGCAGCCAGTGCCTTTTTACTTATAATTTGGTAAATATCAAACAAAATGGTCTGAAATGCTTTCTCAACATTGAAGGCCTCCAATGCTGAAGTTTCTAGGAATGACAAACCCTCTCTCTCAGCCAAACTTTGAGCATCATCAGTAGAGACTGCTCTGAGATGATTGAGGTCAGACTTGTTTCCAGCCATCATAATAACAATGTTAGAATCTGCATGGTCCCTCAGTTCACGAAGCCATCTTTGTACATTCTCAAATGTTTGCCTCTTGGTTATGTCATACACCAACAAGGCACCAACTGCTCCTCTGTAGTATGCACTAGTGATAGCTCGATACCTCTCTTGACCAGCTGTGTCCCATATTTGTGCCTTCACAGTCTTCCCCTCCACCTGTATGTCAAACAAACAAATATTTGTTTAACTACATACAAGCAATGTAGGAGAAATGAAAATTTAGTATCAACTTTTGTGGAACTGCAATACATCAAGTATAGACAGAGTTATTAGTGTAGACATGATTCACCATAGAATATTATGGCTATGCTGCAGTTGTGGTCACAGTTGAGATTTCGTTGCGATTGATGTTACAGAAAATTATACATAAATAATACCAATGTTACAACAATGTGATTATGAAGACAGCAAAAATCTTGATGTTACAATCCAAATCATGGACCGTTTTATAAGAGCTTGGTTAGGACATCATTCAATTTATTTTTCTCTTTTTTTCTCGAACTTTTATTCATCAATTACAATGGTGTGCACATCTTATCTGAGATTATACATAACAAATAGATGTGCAAGTAGCAATTTTTATCTTGGACATCAAGTTACATGCTTCTGGTTATTATTACATTATTAGCATGATCACACCATACTCATAGAGGGTAATAAAAACAATCCCAGTGATAAAATCATAAAAATGAAGATAACAAAAACATGGTTCATGTTTTAGGAAATTTCGGGGGAAAAAAAAAACCTGTAACGTTCTGGTTGCGAATTCAACCCCAATGGTAGACTTAGACTCCAAGCAAAACTCGTTCCGGGTAAACCTGGAAAGGATATTGGATTTTCCAACACCAGAGTCTCCAATTAGTACGATCTTGAATAGATAGTCGTATTCATGGTCCACTTTGTATGCCATGCTCCCAACACTCGACACCACCCAGGACCTGCCCCATTGTAAAATTGATTCCCAAAATCACATAATCATTAACAATGTTTTAAAAAAAACTTCCATGATAACAACTTCATCATGTTCCTTGATATTACAAAAAAGTTGCAAACAAATATGGCCTATGCAGTTATAATTGGTGAGCACCATCTTATGAAACCTTAATGAGAATATAACAAAAAAGAGAGAGAGAAATAAAGTGGAAGAAGGGAAAAAACGAAAGAGTGAAGGGTACTAACCATAAAAAGAAGGTGAAAGCAAAGTGGGGTGACGATGATGGAGGAATGCAGGGATTGAAGATGCAGAGATTGGAGAGAAGGAGGGAGAGAGAGAAAGAGAAGGAGAGAGAAGAAAATGCATTATGAAAGGCCAACAACGAGTGTGCGGCAAACAGAATAAACGAACGACATGCAAGGCACTTTGAACGGTCATTGTGGAATACATTACGCCAACCTCGGCATACTGTTACTTTCCATTGCCATTTTTTAATCATGTGCTCACAAAACTTAGAACAACTATGTTCTTTTCAATGTTTCTCTCCACCTCTCTTTCTTATCTTACACAACCAATCACATTTTTTTTTTTATTCTTACTGTATATAATAATGTACACTATGTTGTTAATCTAATAAGTGTAAATGGATTAAAAAATGTTAAGTAGTCTCACTGAAAAAAAAAAGTCATTTTAGCCAAAAATAATCATGGACAAAAACTACTAAATATTTTATGTCATTAATATGATTATAAAAAGAACATGTAGACTTATTTTTTTTTTTATCAATTAATACGTTATCTTTTCCGTTGTTGAAATTTTAAAAGGGCTTGACTATTACCATAATTATTTGAATTTATTAACATATAATAAACTATACAATCTTAAGAAAAAAACTATAAACTTATGTCAAAATTGAATTAAAAAAGTTTAAATGAGAGAAAATTAAAAATAACCTCAAATTATAAAGTGCCATTTCTCTTCCTTACAAATTGTTCTCTTCAAAAATAAGTTTTTATTTTAATTCATACAATGAGTAATATATATATATATATATATATATATATATATATATATATATATATATATATATATATATATTTGTCAGAGAATGTAAATAACATGGTGATTATAGGCACAAAGAGAACAACAACTACAAAAAAAAATAATACCTCTATCATATCTGTTAAGAAAATCATAACAACTCTGGTATTTATACAAAGCAAAAACAAATAATCCTAAACAAACAATGTAACGGGTAAAACTAACTTTAAATTTTGATTTATTCCTAATATTCCTCCTTAAGTCAAAATCTTAACAACACCAATAAAGTTTTTAAGGTATCTAAATCTTTCAACCCTTTAGAGCCTTGGTAAACACATCAACAAGTTTAGAGCATTGGTAAACACAACAACAAGTTGTACTTCAGACTTGCAATACATGATTTCAAACTTGGAATTGTTGACTTTTTCATGTAGGAAATGAAATATTGTTTCAATGTGTTTGGTCCTACCATGGGAAGCAGGATGTTTAGCCAAGTCTATTGTAGATTTATTATCCACCAAGAGTTTTGGTTGTTGTACCAGATCAATATTCATTTTGTTCACCAGCATGCTTAACCATGCTGCCTGACATGCAGATTCTGATGCTGCTATGTATTCTGCCTTGCAAGAAGATAAAGTTACAACATATTTCTTGACTGAACTTCATGACACTGGTGCACCTTCACAGAAAAACGCATATCCAACCGTGTTTTTCCTGTTATTTTTGTCTCCACACTAGTCTGCATCACTGTATCCAACCATCTCAAATCCCTCATCTATCTTCTTTGAAAAAAAATGTCATAGTCACAGGTGTCATGTAGATACCTTAATAACTTTTTAGGAGATAGCTTCGGGTTATGTATGAACGTGTTTATTAGACCAACACCAAAGTTTAAACTTGGTCTTGTGTTGCACAAATACCTCAAACACCCAACAATCTTGCGGTAGAGAGTGAGATCTACATGTTTTTCATTGTTTTCTTGTTCTAGTTTTAGATCAACTTCAACTAGTGTTGTTGTACAATTATACTGATTCATACCAAACTTTGATAACAAATCTTTTGCATATCTGGTTTGATGTATCATTGTACCATGTTTTGTATGAAGAAACTCATCCTACGGATACAAATCCGTAGGTAAATTAACAAGATTTGAACCCAATACCTTAGAGTTGGAGACTGATACTTCAACCACTAAACTACTAAGATTTTTTTATAATAACTTACAAATAAGTTATATTTATTTACAAATGCATGTATATCCATGTAGATATATAAATATATAAATATACAAATATATAAATATATAACTATTTAAATATATAACTATATCAAAATATATAAATATAAATATATATATTTACACGGATAAATATAAATATAATTTATTTGTAAATTATTATCAGAATATCCTAATAGTTTAGTGGTTGGAGTATCGACCTCCAACTCTAAGGTATTGAGTTTGATTCTTGCCAGTGATAATTCTCTTAATTTAATAATAATTCAAATTTTTAAAAGTGTAATAAATAATAAAAATATAATATAAAGGGGAGGGGAGCTCTAGGTAATAATAAAAAGTAAATAGGGGTTATATGTAGTGAATAAAAAGTAAATGACATTACCTACGGAGAACCAACTTACACACCATGTTTTATCACATAATTCTCAAAACCAACTTGATGGAGAAAACTGTTAATTCAAAGATTGCAAGCTCTTAGATCTTGCTTGAGGCCACATAAAGCCATGTTTAGCTTGTATACTTTTTGTTCTTACCCCTTAATTTTAAAACCCTAAGGCTCTAGAACATATACCTCTTCATCATTTGGTCCATTCAAGAAGGCTAATTTCACATCTAATTGGTGCATAGACCAATTCTCATAGGTTGCAACTGAGATGATGACACATACCATCTCAATTCTTGCTACTGGAGTGTATATCTCACCATAATCAATCATAGCTTTTTGTAAAAAAAAAAAACCATTTTTGTCACTAGTCAGGTTTTATGTCTCACAACATTCCCCTTTGGATTCATTTTTACCTTGTAAATCCATTTCCATGTTGTAGGTCTTTTGTTTAGAGGAAGATCAACTAACTCCCAAGTTTGATTCTTTTCTATAAAGTTGATTTCTTCATGCATTGCTTTCAACCAATTCGCATCTGAGATGACATCCTTGAATTTTATAGATTCAACTTCTATAACTAGTGCAAAGTGCACTAGATTTCCTTTAGATGTAATTCTTGAATCATTGAACATCTCATAATCCTAAAAATGTGATGGCAATTGAGTAACCCTGTGAGATCTTTTTACTACTTGACCACTTCATTCATCCACAACAGATGTGCTATCCGCTTCCATTATACCATAATTGACACCTAGTATGATGCTAGGTTGTGACATATCTCCAATAGCATTTTGATTTCCTATTTTCCAATTTCAACATGATGTTTCATCAATTACCACTGTTAAGAATCAGAGTAACTACAACAATAGGTAATAATAGAATTTTACTACCGGAAGAAATTATAATACCCTCTTTATATCTAAGAAGAAAATAATAATAATAATAATAATAATATCTCTTAAAAATAAGAGAACTCAACTACTATGTAATTCCTTAGTAGAAAGAAGAGATTTTGGGTGATTTACAAAGTAAACATTGTGCTCCTTTTATAACAAGAAAAGTAAGCACAACATATAATTTCCCTGATGTGGGACTTCTCTTCTCACATTCTCACAATCTCTCACTTGAAGATTTTGATTAAATTAATTAAATATTTACAATACATTATTATTGTTTTCCATGTTGTTACTGAATAGACCTTTAGTAGGATTATCTCTATGTGAACTTATCACTGCTAACCAACTCTCATAACATCTACTAGGTTCTTCTTGCTTTATCCTAAAATACGAGGTAGGATTTCTTGCAATATGCAAGATACTCTGACTGTCACAATACACAATAACTTGTTGCTACTTATGCTGAGTTTCTCCATTTTCTCTTAATCCAAATAGCATCCTTACATGCTTGAGTGGTTGTCATGTACTTAACTTCTGTGATAAACAGAACTATAACATCCTATAACTTGGATAACCAGTTATTGCCCCTCCAACAAAGTTAAACTCATTAAGATCATCTGCAAAACTTGAACAAACATAGCATCTAACAACTAGTTTTGATCCTCCGAAACATTATACAACATCTAAGATTCCTTTGATAAGAATTCTATTGATAAAACTATGCTCTCCACCATAATTTTCCATTGATCTACTAACCGCTCTCACTACTTTTGTAATGTCTAGTCTTGTGCCGATCGTGGTATTCATAAGACTTCCCACCGTTAATGCATACAGTACTCAAGACATTTTCATCCTCCCTGCTTCATTGCTAAGATTGATACTAGAGGATAACTTGATAGAAATTGGGGTAGAAATTGGTGGCTTACACCCTTGCATGTTAAAGCACTGCAAGACATTCAATAAGTAATTCTTCTGATAAAGTCATATCTTCCTATTTTGTTGCCTCAGTGAATTTGCATACCTAAAATCTTTTTTGTTAGTCCCTAGTTCTTCATATCAGACTTCCTAGCCAACTGTGCCTTCAAAACCTGAATTTGAACTTTGTTGGAGCCTACCACCAACATGTCATCCACATATAATAAAAAAAATTATAAAATAATTTTCATCAAATCTATTGTATTAGGTATAATAGTCTGAACTTAATCTGTTGTAATCAAAGATAATCATGAATAATCAAATCTCTTATACTAACACCTGGAAACCCGATTTAAACCGTACAGATATTTGGTCAACTTTCAAACCAAGTTTCCTTTTTCTTTAAGTCTTCTAGTTGGAGCATACCAATCATTTCTCTAAGTTCAACTTGAAGAGAAATAATATTTGTATTACCGCTAATAATAACCTTGTGGATAGTGGGATC